AGGATTATCTAATTAAATTAATCAATTAATTTAATCCTAATCCTTATCCCTCTAATTTCGAAAAATGGGGTAAGGATAATTATCCAATTAATCTAATTAAGTAACAATTATCCAAAAACAAGAAACCCTAGTTATCCTCTTAGCATATTTCGAAATTCATAAGGGAGGAGGCTAGGGTTTTCAAAACCCTAACCCTAATTTCGATTAGGGTTCTTTGGAGGCTAGGGTTTTCGAAAAAACCCTTTGATCCAAAACCCTAGAAATCGAAAAATTGGCCTTTAGGGTTTACTAGCTATAAACCCTAATTTGCAATTCAACAATTGTAGCAATTCAATTTAAAACAACAATGGCTCTGATACCACTGATGGGTTTTAGGTAAAACAAATAAACTAGAAAAACAATTCCTAAGTTCACATGCAACCTACTTTGGATCTATGTTTTAACTATTGAACATATAACTTTGAATTGCAAAACAAGAACCCTAAAGGAGAGAGGCTATTTTCGAAAATAGTAAACTAGGGTTTAGGAGTTACATACCTTTCAATTGTTATAGCAAACAATTGATAATCCTCTTGATCTTGATCTTGATCTTCTTGGAAGCTTAGCACCACAAATGTAATGCCTCTAATGGAATCACACCCAAGAACTAGCAAGAAGGAAACTTGGAGGAGAGAGGATGGAGAGAGTATGCAATTTTGGCCTTAGGGTTTCTTCCAAAGAAATCAGTGACCAAAAACATGAACCAGGAGGCTCCTTATATAGCTGAGGGATCTAGGGTTTAAGGGAAACCCTAGTTATCCTTTGCTTAGGGCCTAAGCAAACCCAAGGGCCTTATCCAAGCCCCTATGGACGAAATTATTAGGGTTTCCCCTAAAGATTTCGTCCACCCTCTTCCAAGGGGGTTCTAGAGCCTTCCACTCAACTATTAGATAATTGCAAACTAGTCCCTGTACCTTATAATTAATTCTTTTAACCCCAAAAATCAATTCTGATTAATTTCTGGCTAACAATTAATTAAACATAATGATTTCTAATTAATATATTAATCCATTAACATATTAATAAATCATTTATATATATATATATATATATATATATATATATATATATTAATTTATTGATCTTATAAATTAATATCTCTCCTTTCATAATTTCCTTGTCCAGTTGCTAGGTTGAGGGCAACCCAAAAGGATTGTGCTGCTATCAATTCAAGTACATACCAATTATAGTTATGGGCTTAGACACCTAATCCAACACAAAGTTCATCCATAAACAATTACCGACCATACCTGAACAATGATAGAACCTGTGAACGCTGACTTCATTGGAGAAAAATCACTCCAACCCTGATCGAGTATCCTCTAAATAATACTCCGCAAGATGCGTCCCTCTTTGGGTTCATCAAGGACCTTTCGGCATGCAGGATGGCATATATGATCTTGGTAACCCAAAAAGTAGCAGAAAAACCGACCCGAGGTCTGACTTATCCAAACTCACTCACAATTCCAAAGCGGCACGTATTCCAAACATCCACCTAATATCATAGAAGATGAAATACCCACAACATCTGGAGGAATACTGACCCCCTTCTGCTGACATGATCAATCCTGCTACCATGTAGTAGCCTAAACCCTTGGAGTGACAAACTCCCTCGTGTACTTTCTCGTACGCGCTGCACTGACTCAGGCCCTGCTGGCCTTTCACCCGATGATCAGAAGTCATGGGTCTCTTCCCGGGACCCTCTACTATACGCACCTGGCACGCACCTCTCTTTCCAGGGTGCTCCCAAATCGATCCCGCATCTGTAACTCTTGGAAATCATATCCTTTAGGGTCTGACACCCTGTCACGCTTACTAGCTCGCTTGCCAATGGCTAAGCTGCAACAACTGGAACATCCTCTGTCCCCAAACTGGGTCACAAACTCTTCCCTGAAGCTTCTTAGATTCTCCAAGACTCTCACTGATTCGAGTATGAATCTTGTGCTTTCAGTAGTACGGGCCCAATACTACCTTCCACACCTATCCATACTTTCCTCAGCAATCCTCCCGAATCCTCCAAGTCACTTCCTCAAACTGGTACACCCAAGTCTCACTGAACCTCACTACTAACCCACTGAAACGTATCCTAGGCTTTCCTAGGTTCCCAAACTCACCCAGTCCTCAGCTGCTGAAAGATTCCTAGAAATGTCAAGTAGCTACCTTATGAATATAGCCACATGCAACAGAGATCAGATAATCCTTCGAGTGAAACACCCATACCTAGAATGGTTGGACTCAGACAAGAGCTGAGCAATAGGGTCAAGTCCATCACTCTGAGATTATCCGGCCTGTGTCCCACGTGACTTAGCATATTCACTTAGTAGCTAACTCACATCACTAAGAGTCCCACAAAGCACAAAGCAAACAGCATTCAGACAATGGAAAATCTAAACATCATATTCCAATCAAATCATTCTATCCTCTAATCAGGAATCTGTACATGCAATTCAAAGGCTCATACAATCTGGCATAACCTAAACAGGCTATCCTATCACTGACTGATCAATACTAGCATGCAAGTTAACAAGCACATATAATAGGCATATAAGGCATCCTTCCTAGATCCTTAGCCCTAATCTAGCATGCAATTCTCATAATCATATCATAACATGTATGGGCATCTTGGGGAAAACTTACTTGAGCTCGGCTGATTGCACGCATCACACACTTCATTCTTTTCAAAGTTCTTTTCTCTTTTCAAATTCTTTTCAAACTCCCTTTTATAAAATGGTTTTACTTTTGAAAATTTTCATACCAAGTCCTTAGTTTGAGTTCAGACACACCCGAGAGTGTGTCCGAATCCCTCAAACCAAGGCTCTGATACCAACTTGTAACATCCCAAAATTCAAGGCCAAAAATTTCATTTTTAAATAAGTTATTACATAAAACCATTAGTATAAAAACATTCATAATAATATCTCGTGTCAAACCAAAGTGTCAGTAATCAAAACATATTATCATAAAACCATATCAGAGTGTAATCCCAAAGATCTCATGTGCGTAAAACATAGTGTGACGCGCTGCGATCAAGCCGGCTCCTTTACTTTGAAAACGAGTGCCTGAAACCAAAACTGAAAACTGTAAGCACGAAGCTTAGTGAGTTCCCCCATCATACCACATACCATACAAATACATATAATCATACATACTGCCAGGCATATCTGGGTGCCCGACCTACCCCTTCGGTCCTCTCGACCGGATACCGCCTAGCATACCTGGGTGCTGGCCTCCCCTTCGGTCATCTCGACCGGATACTGCCTAGCATATCTGGGTGCTGGCCTCCCCTTCGGTCCTCACGACCGGATACTGCCTAGCATATCTGGGTGCTGGCCTCCCCTTCGGTCCTCTCGACCGGATACTGGGGACTATTTCACCCCCTACCACTACCATATCAAAGCCTAGCATATAAACATAAATCACATACTGCGTAGCATATCTGGTTGCTGGCCTACCCCTTCGGTCATGTCGACCGGTAACCGGGGACTATTTCACCCCCTACTACTACCACATAATATCATATCACATGTATCATAATCTGGCTAGCATGGCTGGGCACTAAACTACCCATTCGGTCCTATCGACCGGTATCCGGGGACTATTTCACCCCCTACTACCACTATCACATAACATCATAACATGCTAGCACATAAAACATAACAGGTAGCAGCAAACCTAGATGAATATCGCAAAGACAATCATCTAACATACAATCCCACACTGCTGAAGTCCCGCAGACTCAACCCCAGCTGCTGGCTGACAGATTCCCGAACTGTCAACACCAAAATAACACCCAATTAATAATCGGGTTCCACTACATAACCATGAGTACATACTTTGGATAATTACTACATTACCCCAAGCTTGGCTTTATGCAAGCCCAGGGCCCAATCCAAAGGCCCAAAAGTCCAACTATGGCTCAAAGCCCAACATATGGCCCAATTTTCCAAATTGGGCCCAAACCTTTACAAGGTCTTACCATAAGGCCCAACCATTTAGTCGAGTCCAACATTCAACATTCTAATGGCCCAATATCGTATAATCATAAAGGCCCAAACTATGGCCCATCTATGGCCTAATTTTCCAAATTTGGCCCAAACCCCTTACATGGGCCTTACCATATGCCCATTAAATATTCTAGTCCCTTTGCTTGACTTTGGATGGCCCATTAATAACGCAATCATCAAGGCCCAATAGAAGGCCCAACAATACACCCATGTGAAATTAGGGTTTCACATAAAATGACGATTAGGGTTAAGTGTTTCTCACTTAACCCATTAAGGACTTAATCCATTAAGGACTTAATCCATTAAGTCCATCATTCTTCTAAATAAGTCATATGGTGTGATTGGGCTTAATCACACAATTCCATTATTCCAATGGCCCAAAAGTGGGTCTCAATAAGTCCAAGCCCATAAATCCAATATGAGGGTTTTTCTAAACCCTAATTAGGGTTTCCAACCCCATCTTAGCCCAATAGGCCCAATTGATATGTCTTTTGATCAATTAAGGTTCATTAGACTCATTAGTCATCTGTTTGGGCTATTAGGTCCATTAAGCTTCATTGGGCCCATTAGTGTTTATTAAGCCCATTAAGCCTCATTGGGCCCATTAGGGTTTCTTAGTCCCTTTGTCCAAACATTCCAAACGAGTCACGATGCAACAAGGCACACCGCCACCCGACACGGCGGCCGGTGGCGGCAGCCACCACCCTAAGGTGGTGGTTTTTAGTTTCTTTCCATTATTCAATTTGTAATTTACACTTTACAATGCTGAAATCAAAATAAACACATACACTAAACAACATAAACACACACACAGCCACCCTATGGTGGCCGGTGGTGGTAGAAGGTGGCAGCCACCACCTCATGGTGGTGGCAGTGGCGGCTCTTGCGATTTCCGGCCAACGAACCCATACAACACCTTCTCACTGCAATAATACACACACTTACACGCACCAAAACATGCACACAAATCCTTTTGCTTGGACAAATACACCCAACACCCACCTGCGGCGGGTGGCGCCGACAGCAATACGAGATGGTGGCAACAGCATCGAAGTTAGCGGTGGTAGGCAGCTGGTCGACAATGGAAAGGATCAGCAGCAGCGGCGAACAGCGGCTCTATGGCGGCAGATGGTCTTACCAACGAACTTCCAGTCACTCACGACCCTCGCAGAAGCAAAACCCCACTCGATTGTAGGTCTTGGCGGCCATCTCGGCGAACACGTCAATTCCGGTAGCGGGGCTGTGACGGAGGCAACCCCCGGCGAAGCAGCAGCGCTTGAAGTCGTTCCAATGGTTGCGGCGGCTAGGGACCCTTGCTACAACTTGGTCTCCAACAGGTCTCTCGGTCAGGAGGATGGGGCTCGATTGTTGGCTTCGGTGGTCCTAGTCGTCGGCGGCTGATCGGAGGTGGCATGTTGGCGCCGTCGATGGGGAGACATAAGGGTGGGAGAGTGGCGGCTGATGAGTAGGTTGAGTATTAGGGTTAGGGTTTGAACAATGGAGAGGCTATATACCCGGTTATATGAAACATATTCCCATAACGACACAACCAGCCCCTCCTCCTCCGATTCCTTTCAAATGAATCCTAATTTTACCCTTTTAGTCCTCAGCATTATAATTCTTTACAATTCAGGTTCAATATTTGCTAATTTCACCCCTGCTTCCATAAATACTTACAAAATGAATCAGAGACTTACATTTTAAGTCCGGATTTTACACTTTTAACCCCCAATCTCTTAAAGTGTGACAGTTAGCTCCTTAAGATCAACCTTTAAAATATAATTATTTATTTTAGGGCTACTAATCGTTCATTAATTTATTTATTTATTTAATAAATAAACGGGTATTACAAAAAATAAATATCAAAATAAAATATGAGTCTTGAATGTGCTCCATCTTCTCAAAACCTTATCACCAGAACCTGTCTACTGGCGACCTGAGAATACAAGTTATTTTGAAAGCGTAGATCATCATTTAAGTTGGTGAGTTCATAAGTATTTTAGTGTCATTAATTGTATAAGTTTGAAGAATGTACTTGTAAATGTTTGATGTAAAAGTTTGTATGTGTTTGATGTAAATGTTTGTAAACTTCCTAGAAAATCCTATATTTTCTACTAAAGTAGTCTTCTACCAAGACTCAACTGTTCTCTATGTTTGTTCTTTTGTAAAAGTGTGCGTTTTCGCAAAGTATGACTATCATTACCAAAAATATAGTTTTTCATTACCGCTTATGTGAGAATATCACAATGTGAATGAAAATGGGAAAATAAAGATGTACTAGTAGTTTTATCTTGGTAACTACTAATGTACTAACTACCCTTAAAATGGTTAGTTTAATTAAGGTAAAATGTGATATGATTGTAACCATACTTGATCGACCGAATAACACGACGTTCAAGACGTCGAAATGATATGACATTCGTCACCCGTAGACCTGCAGGTCCCACTGTAGCTAGCAGCAAGGTGTAGGAGGGTCAGTCCCGTATAGATCTATACACAAATTCACGCTCTCCTTCTAGGAGACTCTGGGTACAAAACGTTACACAGCAGTATATGCCTGTCACACCCCCAAACCAGAACGGCGGAAATGTTCGGGGGCGGAGGACCTCATATTCAGTATCATAACAGTTCATAGTAAGGAAAGTACACACCACCATACATATAAAGGTTTCAAAATGTTTACATGATTGTATTTGTTACATGTTCAAAAGATAAATACATAAACATCTTTCAAAAGAAGTAATTAACATCAGAGCGTTAATCCCCAAAAGTTGGTTTCCAAACCTGCTTAGCGGTTCCCTGAGAATACAAGTTATTTCAAAGAAAAAGTGTCAACAATTAAGTTGGTGAGTTCATAAGCGGTTTTGAGAAAATGTATGTCATTCCAAAGTTCGTGCATTTTCCAAGAAAATCCCTTATTTTCTTATAAAAGTATGAAATGCTTATGAATGTTCGTGTTGTGAATCTTAAATGGTTGCACCAGGAAAATCCCTTATTTTCCTATTAGTTAATTGTTTTGGATACAGGAAAATCCCTTATTTTCCTAAAGTAACAGGCAGTCTCTAATATCCAAGACCGAAAATCGTAGGCAACTGACATGCTTAAAAGGTTGAGGCATAGTTTTGTATAATAAAGCTATAAGAAGATCGCACTTGTTAGATGAAGAATAGTTTTAATAGCTACCCATTCATAAAAGCATAATACCATAATAATTGTCTATCCGGTGAGTTTTATAACCATACTAAACATAATATGCCTGTGGCGACGGTCTTCAGGCGTCGTATCGTTTATGACAAACTGTCACCCAAAGGACTGTAGCTAACAGTCAGGGCGCGGGATCATGACTTCCCGTATGATCTATACACATTTGACACGCTCTCCAAATGGGAGACTCTGGTTATAATAGACAGGACTTTAGGTAGTACCTTTAAAACACAAAGGTAGCATTTGAAGATGTAATCGTCTCACGGATTCTCAACTATGTCTGTATTAAAATAATAGTTTTGTATGCAATGTTTATCCTCTTTCACAATGTTTGACAAAGCATAAATCATAAGTTCTTGAATGCATAAAGAGTTTAGCAAGAAAGGTTGCTCTTGACATAATGCATTTTGTATAAACGAGGCTAATACTAGTTATAGTTTTGTTTTATACCACAAGGTTAAGTTTGAGCAATAGTCTTGCATGTTGAACAGTTTCATTGTATAGATAAGTCTAATACATGCAAAGTATAACAAGAGTTTTTACGTTTTCACTCGGGATCAACCGAGTGTTTACTTGTATTCTCCCCCAAAATGTATTAAAAGTACATTATAAAGTATTTGAAAGTGTATAAAAGGGGGGTATGAACTCACTTGATTGAAGTGGTTGCTTTGAAGTAGTCGAGAGAAGAATCGAGCAGAACTTCGACTAGAGAGAGTTAAAATGTCGGGATTCCCGGGGATTCTCGAGAGTGTAAGACCTTCCTACGAAACTTGGATGCGAAAACCGGGGATTTGGGATGGCTTCGGGGGTTAAAACGCAGAGCTTCGGCACGAGAAAGAGAAGAAATGAGCACCTAAACCCGAAACCTTCGGCTTCTATTTATAGGGTGTATTCACGTCGTGAGCATGGGTGGCTAACGTCGTGAGCTCGACCAGGTCTCCTCCCGTAGACTTGACAACTCGTTGATAGGCTCTGGAACCCATCAGTCACAGACTCACGTCGTGAGTCTGTTTCCCTCACGTCGTGAGGCTGAGTCAGCCACGTGTTTTGTGTCCCGAACTTGTAAAATCCGTAACTTTCGCGTACGAGCTCCGATTTCAACGTTCTTTATATGCACGCGTAGGTGTGAAAAGACTTTACAACTTTCGTTTAGACTCCGTCGGCTAATTTTGACTTTATTTTTATTATATTATTTTTAACAGGCCGGACCTGGAAAACTCCGTTTAAATTCCATAGCTCCTTCATCGGGTGTCCATTTTCGTCAGACTTTTTACTGTTGTACTCCTATTGTCGGGGTCTTCAACTTTCGTTTAGGTTGTGTCGGCTAAAGACCGCTCGATCTCTAATTCGAGTTTTTAGCTATCTATTGCTAGGTCAGAAACTTCGAAAATTCATAACTTCCTCATACGAAGTCAGATTTGGGGCGTTCTTTTTATGTATGTTCGCGGTTTAAATATATCTACGACTTTCATTTAGATACCTAAGGCTAAAAAGTATTTTATTGAAATTTCTCGTTTTATGCTTAATAGTGTTTTACCGGTATTGTCGCGTATCTTCGATCAGTCATAACTTCTTCGTTATAACTCGGATTTTAGTGTTCTTTATAATTTTGGAAACCTAGTTACGATATCTACCACTTAGTATACTCAATTATGGTTACTGAACAAATTTATTTTTGACCTAATTTTGCTGGTGTTACATTATCCCCCCGTTAAAGAGAATTTCGTCCCGAAATTCGCATTTTGACTGGGACTTCAATCATTGAGGAAAGATGTGTGTACTTCTGTTCCATTTGATCTTCTTGTTCTCTAGTGAATCCAGATCCTAGCGTGGGTGTTCCAGCGGATCTTCATTATTCTGTCTATTGTTTTGATCAGTAGAGGTCGTGTGGATTTGGGTTTATTTGTCTATGTTCATCTAAATGTTAGTATTGATTACTCGTAATACAGGTCGGCTTTGTCTTGAACTTCATAGTTGAATTCATACCTGGTCCGTCTATCATCGCTTTGTGTATACCATTCGCATACACACTTTGTAGTGATAGGTTAACCGTAATCATTCCTAGCCTCTTCGTTTGAGCTTGACTCGTCGTGCGTGTGCTATTCCTAAATAGTATGTCGGTAATACTTCGGGAAGGTTGAAAAGGATATAGTACTCCTCACATGAGTGCTACGGGATTTTGAAACTAGGAATGGTTTGGGAGTTCTGTCGGGTTTGTCGTTATAAATCGATAGAGTTCGTTAGAAGAGTTTTATTAGTCGGTGGTTAACGCAAAGGGTCTTTTCATAGCACATGCAATTGGTATGGTGAAGACCAAGCCAATCCATTTCTAGTAGCTATTTGGGTACTTCTGATCGAAATAGGGGTGAAATCGATTAGGAAAGTGTTCGTTAGGGTGATAGTGCATTCTACATATGTGTTTTCAGTAAATTTAGGGTGGGGATGTTTAAATCTTAAGTCGATCTAGTTTCATGGGTTTTGGGAGAGGGTATCTTTCTTACTATCTCGAGTTATGGAGAAGGATGTGACGTACCTATCTCATAGCGTAAGTAATAAGATTACCAACTCATTAGATAACTATTACTTATTAGTCTGACGTATCAGGTTCTCTACCACCTCGCAGGCTTCACGAGTGGTTTTCTCTGTTCTCTGTCTTATCCTCAGTGGTACTTATTTGTCATAGCTTGGTATCTACATACACGTCGTCCTTGCTTTTCCTCAGGCATATTTAATCTCCGTCATTGTTTTGATTGCCCTTAGTTGAATTTTGTAAAGGTTTGTTATTCTATGGTAAATGTCTCTTTCTCTAAAGGGTGTAGGTGATCGAAAAGTTGGATTTATTGAAGGATTGATTCTGTTTGAATAGCGAGAAGGCATTTCCAGCCATAGGGTTACAGACGAAAAGGTGGCAAGACTTCGCCAGTGTTGTTGAGCTCAATAACATTGAACTACAATAGATTAGATCGACAGGGACAGTGTAATGAGTTGCTATAACAGTTTATGACATGAACTGTTTACACAGCCCAAAGCATGGGTTGATAATGATGATCTTTTTAGAAGAAACAAGAAGTCTGTCATAATAGTTGGTATAGAAGTTACATAGAATTCGGAAAATTTGACCTTGGAGTAGGTCTACAATATACCACACAGTTAAAAACTTGACAGCTTAGAGATCCAGTGAAACAGTAATTGCTAGA